CACATTAGTGCAGCCCTCATCAGAAAGTATTGATGCCTAAAGCTATCATAAGTTTGGATTCCAGAATACCAAAGTTACTTTAAATCATCAATTAGTGGTCGAAGCATTACATCAATATCTTTCCAGGACTTTGGGGACCTTGGATAATATAATACCCCAAAATTTTGTGATATTTTAGCATTAAGTTAAGGACCTTTGTGTGAGAAAATAGTGTTTTGGGGCTTAATGATCAAAATGTCCAAACTTGAGGGACTTAAAGAGGCAAAATTTGGATAAGGATCAGTTTCTTTTCTTTTTCTTTTTCCTTCTTTTCTTCCCCAGCCATTTCCCGATTCTGCTCTTCTTCTTCCCGTTGCAGCCGAACAAAGCCCCTAAGCTGCTGGCGACTTCCTCCCTTGAAAAATCGGTAAAGCTTGATGATTTTCCCTTATTTTCTTGTCCAAGAACCTGATTTGGAACCCAAAAATCCTTCCCCCCATCTACAGAATTTCGGATCTGCCTTGCTCTGCTCCTCACCGTCTGGCTGCTCCTGCTTTGTGGGTGTGATTTGTTCGATTTTTTGGTAAGAAATAGCTTGAATTCTCCCTTCTCTAGCTTTGAATTGCCCTGGGTTTACTTTAATTGCTCTTGTTCCTCCAATTTTTGGGTAAACCCGTGAGCTTTCCTTGCAGCTGACCGCCGGCCTCTTCCCCCCTGCAGCTCCAGTTTCTACAACTGGAGAATTATGGTATGTGGCAGCTTCTCTAAGTGCCAGTTTAGCCATTTAATTGCTGCCCTTTGTGTCCGAAATTCTGGATTAATTAGGGGAGAAAATTGATAGTAATTAGACCATGATTTCGCTTAATTCAAGTGGGATTTATGTGATTGAGTGTTAATTGACTGCTGTGTGATTTTTGGAGAGAAAAACGCCGTGATTAGCTAGTGTTTTGGCCAATTTTGGAAGTTCGAATTACTGTTCACGTCAGGGTTACTGTTCACACACTGAGGGCCAACAATTAACGGGGATTTAAATGATTAGTTTGTGATATAAGAACGAATTTGGAGATATTTGATTATGTGGAGATTGATAGGAATTAGTATCGTGATTAAGGAGTCTTAATGATGATTTCAGTTTGAATTTATGATGGTGCGATAATTAATTATTGGGTATCTTGATTAGGTTCTTGATCGTTCTGTCAGTTAGCATTGAGATTGAGTGCTCGATTTTATGCGAGTGAGGTAAGTAAATTTATGGTAATGCCCGTACTGTTTTTAAAAGAATGTTTTGATTTGTTTTTGAAGTGGTGGCGGGACTAAACCCGTTTTACACAAGTATGACTGATTTTGAAGTGAAATGTTTTATGCTTTTCACTAAATTGAGCATGCCTACTTGAAATTTAAGTGATTGTCCTGATGATCTGAAAGTGACTTGAAAGTGATTGTGAATTGTGATTTTTCTGTTAAAATCTTGCCTGGTTTTGTCTCCGATATGGTCATGTATTCGTGTGCCCGCTAGTGGGAGGTTTATAAACGCTAGCACATGTCAACATGTTACTGATAGAACCGATTCGTTCAAGTGGCCCTGCTAGTGGGGATTATACACTAGTAAATCGTGTGCTTGTCAGTGGGAGGTTTATAACACTGGCCGTGACCTATAGAGGAGACATCTATTTCGTGCTCGTACTGTATCTGTTTTCGTGATTGTACTTGCTGGCATGCTTTAAGTTTGATAAGGGGCACTCCATATTTACTTAATGAGTTTATCTCATAGTTTTTCCTTGTCCACCATTTGAGGAAGTGAAACCGAGGACGAGGAAACCACGGGAAGTGACGAGTTAGAAAGCTAGCCATTTCGAGATTGATATAGATTTTTAGAAATAAATCATGATCTTGTAAGCTCGAGTGGATTTGGAGATTTTATGATATCAGAGCAATTATGCAATTTGACCTTCAGATTTTGTGGTATCAGATTGTGGATTGGATAAGTTCCGAGCCTTGTGCATTTGTGGGATCTTTTCACGAGTGCACGGCATCTGTCGCGTCTCGGATTTGGGTTCTGGGGCGTGACAGATAATCAATGAAATGAATACATATTCTTGCTTCATGCATATTGTTGGAGGTAGGTTATAAATTGACACAAATACTGGCCAACAAGAGTATGGAGATGCAGAATGTCCAAAAGGAGTGAACCCATCAGTGCACAAACCTAACCTAAC